ATCCACACAACCTTACGTTAATTATAGTACTGTCATTGAATACATGTCTCATTTCGTCGACTTGAGGCCTCTATGATCGAGAGAGGAGGAGTTAATATTGTTTATCGGCAAGTCATATCATCGTTAATTCTTCACCAAATCTCAAGATTGAGCCACCAATTTCGAAGGCTACCTTCTCCTTCAGGCGGGAAAAATACTCCAATTATCCCGAAAATTCCGGCAAACAAGTTATGAAAGAAAACAAACTTTATTTGCGAATAACAAAAAAAATACACACCCTTTCCCTTTATGCCCACGATTAAATAAAATATTAATACATTCCCTAGAAAAGGAAAAAAAAAATCAACGAAATTGGACAATTTTCAGCAAAGATACAGCTTATTGAAATTTGTAAACATGTTGGTTCCAAACATTAACGAAATTTTAAATTAATTTTTGTTACTTTGTCGATAAAGTAACAATTGATTTCTTTATCTTTTGATACGTTGCATTATTTTATTTTATTGTTAATTTTGCATTTTATCACTTAACAATATGCTGTGCGGATTTTTCTTACGGGCCTACTAATATAAAAAATTAGTAACTTTTCATTCTTCCCTTCCACTACATCAATTTGACGAAATGTTAAGAGAAAGAACATATCAATAAATTTAACTATGCCTAAGAAACAATTTTAAACGATAAAAAAATAATTATTTCAAAAACCTAAAAATACACATTGTTCTACGAATAACTCTAGAACGATATGTATCCTTTTGAAAGGCTGGGTGTTTTACAACACGAAAAAGGAATAAACTAAATCGGACCAGTATTAGCAGAGATACAGCGTATTTTTATTTTAATCGAACTTTTATCCACATGTTTTCCAAGAACCCCGCCTCCTATCTCCATACATAAAAGAAAGATGCAATACACTCACTGACCTATTTATCGCTGTATTATCTCAAAATTGACAATATTTATGAAGCCGAAATTTTAATTGGTAGCACGGGTCACACTGTGGACGGGCAATAAGCCTGGGTTCGAAAAAATTCGTAACCTGATTCAAAAGCTAAAATCTACATAAACTTAAAGAAAAAACATTTAAATCTGATAATTACCTTTAATGTAAACAAATTTGAAAAGACTAAATTTAATTATAATTTTGGAAAACAATTTTTGTAAGCGAAAACGCGGGTAACAGCTATTAGAACCATATAATGAAATCAAAATTATAAAGAATATACAGTTTTCGATTAAACAAGATAATCTGAATGTCTTAAAACGTAACCATTGTGATGATTTTAACGGATTTGTTTTCACTAACAATAAAAGTTCAGTTTTCTCTCATTTACGTAAACACAATTTCGTTACATGATTTATCTAATTTGTGGTTGACCCAGGAAGAATGGAAATGGACCACCCAAGAGACAAGATCCGTTTCTGAATTAAACTCCACTTCAAGGACTTTCTGCTTCAGGCGTAGTTCGTTTGCAATAAGTTCTCCCAAGTTTAAACTACAGACACCCACAATTGATTCTATTTCGGTCCCGTTGCTTATACCCTAGAAAAAATATTTAAATGAAAGTGTGTAAAATACACTGTGTATAGATCCTGTGATGAATCATGCATGTCTTATTACGACTACCTTTATTTCTATCATGCTTGGCTCTCTGCCATTTTATTATTTTATATGTTTACAAAAGATCGAATATTATACCATTTAGCATGAAGTAAATGAAAAAGCCGCGGAAGGCGCACATTGAGACAAATGACGGGTTTTCGTAGACATGGGCCTGAGACTATTAAAAGGTTTTCAATTGAACTATTGAATAAAAACAGTGAAAAGTGTATATTCTGCCAAAAGCATTCCAGAAGGTATCAATAAAACAATTTATTAAGTTTTTGGAGTTCTAGAACAAAAGTTTATTTCAGTCGCGAGTTATTCCTTACTCGTCCCACTGTGCGGTATGAACAAGTATTTTTTTTATTCAATTTTCGAGTTCTACGTATTCTGAAACTTAAAACCTCAAAGTTTGAGAGGAGGACAACTTTTTAAATTTTTTGGACGATCACAATGGTACATTATTAAAAATAATAAACCAAAAATCAAATATATCTAATTAACAAATTAAATAAAAACTCACGGTTTTACATAATTATTTACAACTAAACAACTTCCTTAATGCTTGCACACCAATAAATACATTCAATGTAAAAAAAATCAAAAGCTTACAGAAGAGAATAGCATATTAACTTATATAAATAAATAAATTATCAAAAGATGAATATTTAATTTATTTGGGGGTTGAAGTCACTGAGAAACACAAACAAGATTTTAACAAAAAGATTTTATTTTGTATTGACGTTTCGGACCTTCATCAGGATTCCTATACCTACTGAGTGAGAAAACAGAGTGACTCTTCTACATCAGCTAACTGTGAATCTGTTGACAGGCTATAGATGTAGAAGTACTGATAAAGGTCTGAAACTTAGGCCGAAACGTCGGTACAAAATACAACAAACCAATTTTATTGTTGAACTAACTTCCCAACCAGAATAAGAAAATAAATTATCTCTATTGTTATGATAGTACTACGTAAAGAACCTATCGTCCATAATTAAAATAAATTAAACCACCTTATCCAATAACTTTCTAGTATTTGGGCGTTTATGGTTACTTAAATATATATAAATCTCTCAATCTCTCTCTCTCTCTCTCTCTCTCTCTCTCTATATATATATATATATATATATATATATATATATATATATATATATATATATATATATATATATAAAATGAAGAAAAAGAAAACAGTCAATATTTTGTTTTTTAAATACTGAGATTAAGATTTATTGCAATAATGAGAGGAAGATTCATAGATATCTTATAAAAATGTAACATTGTTTTTATATAAGCTTCTCCAGAATTTTATTTAGGTAGCGTAAAATGTTATCCTTAATTCCTTAAAAACTAATGTATCGAAAACGAATTCATGTATGAACTGAGTGGCATGTCAGAACCTTATGGTCGCATCATGATGACAAGCACAATAAACATACCGTTGCCGCCATAACGGTTTTACTACTACAAGATCCTTGGTTACGAATGGATGCCAAACGGTATGAGGTTCATAAATCGTTCCGTCAAATTTCGATAGCCTGAGCTGAAGCCAACGGAAACCTCCATTCTTCAAGCTCATCAATCCGCGATTGTACCGTCAAAAAGAATGTTAATCCAGGAAATTAAAAACGGGTAAAAATACTAAAAACTCGGCTGTGAGTCAGAGGGGAACAAAACTAACAGTTCATTAATTGGGCGAATTGCCTTTACGAGTCAAACTGTTCCGAAGCGAAAGGTCTCGCAATAATGAGCCGACAAAGAACACTTCCAACATCTTATTTTTGTCCAACATCTTTTTGTTACTTTCTCTAATTATTATCCATTACTTGATCAACTTTTAACTTTTGTATTTTTTTTCACTTCATCATTCAATATCACTCTATATATATATATATATATATATATATATATATATATATAGAGTGATATATATATATATATATATATATATATATTATTTATTTTTCTCTATGATGATAGTATAATAATTTAATTGGTTTCAGCAACTTCTTTAGGAACGTCAGCTCGTACCATTGTCGAGTTCCTATCTCCATGAATCGTATGTTCAAGTGCAGTATGTATCATATATCATTACCATCAGTTAATGATAGTTGAATAAAACTTTAGAAAAAAATATATAACGAAGTCTTGGTCTGCATTGTTTGAAGACAGCCAGACATGCTCCCACTAAAATAAACCACGAGTTCAAAATAGAATGTCCTATAAATATAGTCGGCTGAACAAAAACAAAACAGGTGAACAAGACCGCAATTATAACCTGGTAACGTGTACAAGTTATAATTGGCCAATCGTATTAACACGATTAGTGAAATGGCAAACACGAAGTACTATTATATAATATTTATTTGTTAATGTCTGCAATTAAGGACAACACTCGGTTGATTTTGGGTGTATGAGCCAGAAGGAATGTCATTAGAATGGCATATTAATATATATTGGTAAAACATGAAATTCCAACCGATAAAAAGAAAACATGCTCTGAGGTTTGGAATGCAAGAACATGATCTCAGTCTTCTAAAAAACAGGTTATCAAAGACAAAGGTCAGGACAATTATACCTGATATGAATAATCCATATCTGGTCATATAACGACAGAAATAACTTAGATAAATCAGAAATATGTAAACATATTTTCATATAAACAATATTATAGCCTTTCCAGATAGTCTTAAAAACAATGATTCTTTTTTATTTTTCTTAATAATAGTAAAGTAAAAAAATATTTTAGTAAAAACAAAAATTAAAATTAAGGTGGATAAACCAGATATATTTAGATAATGAACATGAAGGAGAAATAGCGATAAAGATTAAGAGTCATGTGGAAGAATGAAAACGTCGAAATAATACAGAGGTTCATTATGTCAATGATTATCACCGAGATGATCCGTGGAATATTAACACTCCTTAATATGTCTTTATTAATTTCAAATAACAACGTGACACAATAATGAAATTAGAACAAAACATATCCCTACTGTTAGTGCAAAAGATTGTATGTAAAAATGTTTAAAGTTTTTTTTACAGATGAGCATAAAACTGATTATTTTCTTATGATTTATTAGTATAATTTCATATTTTATTTTCTGTAGTAGCAGACAACTTATTGCAATTGCAGACTAAGAAACAGTTGATAAAACAATTAAAATTGTGTTTTAGGGATCTACCCCTATAAATATCTCGGTGTTTAAGTTGAGATTTGAAGACCATTGTTGGTTGATGTACACCCAAACAAAACAAATACCACCTCATATTTATCAACAAAAGCAATACCTAACAATAAGAGGATTAGGATTCGGAATCTAGTATTGAATAATCCCGATTGGAAAGCTCCTACTGCCCTGAAAAGAGATAGTGAGATATGCAAATGAAGCATATGATCCTCCTGCAAGAAGGAAGACGAACCACTGACCGAAAGACCAAAGACAAGACATCCTCCGACAAAGAGACGGACAGTAAGCTAGAGTACTAGTGTACCTTGTGGCCTGCGAGTGGACTCCGTTGAAAACCGTTTTGATAGTGTGCGGCGGGGAGGACATATCCAAGGCTAGCTTCATCCTACTACTGGCTTCCCGGGCGCTCCCACTACCTTCCCGACGGCCGGGAGGGGGCCGTCACGATTTACGGGCGGAATGGGGGTATTACCGATCTGTGATGGAGGTAATCTGTCCCTCAGGGTAGGGTACCGGGCAACAGGTCAAGATATCGGATCACATTCCGATGAGCAAGTTCATGGTTTATCACTTACAAATGGGGATTGGTACAAACATTACACAACAGAGAAATATATAGAATGCAATGATATGTGCTGGGAGTGGGTAATTATGAAGTACATAGAAGACTTTTCTACTTGTCTACTTGCTAAGTTTGGGTCAGAAGTGCCATGACAAAAACACCATTTAAAAGTTTGTGAGATCACTCCGATAGCCCAAAATGATGACTTATTGACAAGGGACTTTCTTGGAAACTTCATTTAACCAGCTACAACAAGATCAGGATAAAAAATAAAATATGGACAGAGGCACTAACTACAATGCACAAGAACAAATGTGTATATTTTTGAAAAAAGAAGTCTGGGTTTTAATTTATATAAAATAAGCGATTGTACATAAGATGTGCTTTAACTAATTTATTATATTATTAAGAATTTCCTCATCCCATCCAAATGAATGTTTAAGTGGACTTTATTTCTACACTTCAGTTCGAAGAAAGGACATCGTTAACTTCTGTGGATTAACAGTAACTAAAAAAGTTGAAAGTATTTTCGGAAAAAATAGGATATTTAGCATTTGGGAGCATGCAGTCATACCTCGCTTAACACAAGTGAAGTATTTTTGGTTATTTCAGAAAATCTAAAATCGCTACCAAAAACTAAGCTGGTTTACTTTTTTTTTTGTCAGTCAACACACTAATCCCTTCCTTGTTTTATTTTTTCACGATTTTTGTTTTCAAATATGTAATTTTAATAATGTATATTACTAAAATTCCTAACTGAAGGTTAGGAAAAACAAACAGTTATAATTATAGTACCAACAATTAATTTTATTAGGAAATTATATTATCCAAAACAAATCACAATTTCGTGATATCTATCCCGTTCAGCTGGTATTAATTTAATACTAAATTTTAGTTAAATGGATTGGACTGACACAAGATAAATAGTGATCGCTATCACTAGACTAACGACTCAGCACGTAATAACAATTTTTAAAACCTTAAACTCCTCATAACTTCCTTAAAATCCATACGACTATTACAGTAGAAGGGACTCCATCCCACAAAGAAACATTTGAAAATCCCATTGATCTTTGGGGATAAGAAAAAAAAAAACTTAAATGGATTTTTTGATTGATGACAATAACTTAAAGTAAACATTAACACAGATAAGCTGATATATATGAAATATAATAATTATATTTTTATCAATAGAACAGTTTTCGCTATTAACATGAAATTTCATTGCATCATATCATCTGGGATAACAAAAAAGAGTCCTATCTATGGATAATTAACTATTTAAATAAAAAAAATTAGTTTCCAATATTCAAATGGCATACGTAATAAAAAAAAAGATGAAAGGTGAGTATCACAAAAATTAATTTATAATATTATCAGGAATTTTCCCATCTCATCCAAATGAATGTTTAAGTGGACTTTTTTTCTACTCTTCAGTTCGATGAAAGGACATCGTTCACTTCTTTGGATTAACAGCAACTAAAAAAAGTTCAAAAGGGCTTATACGAAGTTGAAGAGCAGGGGCCTAAATTCACATCACGGAAACACTGGGCCCTTCTAAAATGCTTCCCTATAATTCCTCTTTTGTAGGATTATTTCTAGCACAATTTCATTCCACTCGAGAAAAAAAAAAGTTTTTTTTTAATGGTATATTTTTATTATTTTTTCTGTTTTGCTTTTGTGGATATTTTCGACTGAAAGTAAATTCAGATCATTTGACTACCCTAAATAAAAAAAACAATAATCTACTCATTTTATTTTAATATAAAATCTATCTCGATATGATAATGAAAACAATTTAAAAAAAAAAAAGACTGTTGAAAGTAAAACAAACCTATTTTTAGTCTAATAAATTTAATAACAACATAGTTATTAAACTGTAACCCGTTATGATAAACTAGACTGAACTAGAACAGTAAGAGTGATCAGCCGGAACTGGGTAATTCCATCTTGTTTCCGACCAGAACAGGTTACGGTTTCATGCAAATTTCTATAAGGGCATGATGGTCGGTTAGTTTCTAAATTCCATGAATGAATAAGATAAAACCATTAACAATAATAATTTAACTGTTTGCAATAAGAAACGTACATTTTCGAATGGAGGACTTTAGCAAGAAGATATTTACAAGTATTACATCAGTGCACTACATATTTGATTTATTTTTAATGAAAAATTCGAATCAACCAACAAAATAAAAAACAAAATCTCCTAATAAAACGTAAATTTGAAGTTAATAAATAATGACAGTTACATAATAATTTGAAACGTTTTATTTTAATTCACATCAATTCATCAAATAAATCATTGGTTTAAGCGGTTTGTTTTACTGAATACAGTGGTGAAGTATGTGGTTGGAAGAGAGGTCCAACCCCATGTTCCACCATGTTAATAAATAGAAGATAAAAACGACTGGAAAAAAATAAACAAGATAAGAAAAGGTGCAATAAAACTCAACCAAAGAAGTCAAGTTTATGAGCGTACGGGATACCTTACCATAGCGAGTATAAAAGACCATATGCTAATAATATTTATTAATGTAATGAAGACAAAACGCGTGCATTTCTTGTAACTATTAATATGGATAAAAATTTTTAAAAAAATAGTCCCAAAATATTATTTTGACTCATTTTAACAACTATACCAATAATTAAAAATTCCTAATATACTCAAGTGTTATTTGACACTTTGGAGTTTCGATTTAGACATACTAATATGTCTATTTGTTTGTTCGGCAGTATTTAGTTGACTGAATTATAAAAGTATATCATTGTGTAAAATTAGCATGAATTATATACCCAAGGCAATTGGCAAATTAGATTTACAAATCATCTGACACTTAGGTAACATCTAACCAGGGAAGCCTCCAGAGCTAGTTTTTCGAGAGAGCTATGAAGATGATCGGAGAAATTGTAATAAGTCGATTATCTAATTATTTCACATCTCGAACTATATTAAATCGGCTGTCGTAAGCAAAGACAGGATAACTAATTAATTTCATTAGTGCGTATAAAAAGTATGTTTCTGTATCTCAAGATGTAACTAATTTCGTAAATTTCTTTTACCTAATGAATGAAATATGATATATTTAAGAATATTGGTATAAGAAGAAATTTTTTACACAACATTTTTTTTATCCTTCAATGGTTATTTTGGGAAGGGGCAACACATTTTCCCGCCGATTAGTACGTATTACCACAATTTTGTTTATAAGTACAAATTTCTTTTTCCAATTTTTATTTACTATATCAAGTAAACTGAGTAGAGGGAAAACTATCCTATCCACTCTCAGACGGAAAACGTAATTATGAACGTATATAAATTAATTTTGAGTAGGAGGTACTCATCATAGATACACTATATAATCAATTAAAAAAAGATATGTGATTTATATAACAACAATTTTAACTATTGTGTTTCTCCTATAAAAATGTATTATTTGCAGTTCAGTCATTGTTCCACCGGGTGAGCCATAAGTCAATACAAAATACAACGTAATTATGTTTCATATGATAAAAATTATTGAAGATAACAAAAAAAAACCTTAATCGAGTCATTAGTTAAAGCACATTAAATTAATTTCATGTAATCTGTGAGGCCATTATTACGCGAAATTGAATTCCTAATAACAATGTCTAAAATTAATATTCGCCCACTCGGCATGATCTTATAATCTTTTAATACCTCATTGGTTAAAACGCATCGCTACTAAAAGTCGGAAAGGGGGCTTATAGTATGAAATGAAACATCGAAGATAAAAGATACAAAATTAATAATATATTTGAAAATGGACAAACGAGTCCACAACGCCGTATGATGCAATGAAATACGGGAAGTTAAAAAGGAGTTCAATTGCTTCCTTAAAAACACTAAACCAAAGATTACGACTGCTGTATTTACTCCTTACAAGACATTCGAAATTAAAACTTAGCCAAAAATTGAATACATACACCTACTTACTTAAGCCCATTTAGACTTATGCTTCACAGATATACGGGATAGCAAAAAAGATTCACATACGTAAACTACAGACTTTTCAATCAAAAATTTTCAGGACTATCACGAAGGCTCCCTGGTACGTCAGTGACATTACTTTATATAAAGACTTACAGATGCCAACAGTTAACGACCACATACGAACATACTACAAAAGATTTTTACAATAACTTACACGGACATGCCAGTTCACTGATTCGAGGTATGGCCATCTCTCCTCCACTGACTATAAACATAAAATCAAGTTAGGAAAGGACTCCGCGGGGCACTCCTTTCCCTCATGCCTACCAACGTCTTAATCTACACTCTTCTTCCCACAGCACACTCGCTGGTTGTTTATATCCCCAACAAATGTGAGTTTATAAAAAAATAAACTTAAAATTTTTTTTTCTTAAAACATTTTGAAAATTAAATATAACAGAAACATAATATATCTTGAATATAATAGGAAATAAATGATTTGAATTTCTAGCATATTTCTCCCCTGAAATTTAGATGAACAATTGCTAGAAATAACGTTACATAAATCGTTACGGCCACATCATTAATTTGCCTGCTACAACTTTTCCACTGTTGAAGATAAGCAAATGCAAGCTTTAGAAAAAAATAAATTGACCGACTGAAATCTGATATTATCATGATGATTTCTGTAATAAAAATGCAACGGAGGTAGCCTTAAGCGGGAGGAATAACGGAGCATTGGATACGGAGCCGGAGGGGCGGACTCTATTTTTAAAAGAGGGTAGCCGGCCTAGATATGAGCTAGATAAGAGAGCAATATGGGATAGGATGCTGAGAACTGGCTAGCTGCGAGAAAGCTAGCTCCCGTTAGAGATGTTCTGCTCTACAAAAGAAATATACCGAGCTGCAAACATCAATGCACCCCCTTTGGACACGCTCCCGCTAACTAAAGTGCATTCCAGCCCCCGGCGGCTTTTGCCACTGGCGGAGT